CGAAAGTGTTTCTATTGGTTGGAGATCTGTCAAATTCGTCCGCCGTCTTACGAACGGAGGACGAATTGACAGATCTCCAACCAATAGAAACACTTTCGTATCATCGTACCATCGTATAAACGGATGCATCGGCCACAGGCTTTTGGAGCAAAAATTCAAAGATGGAATGTTTTGGCTCGTAAGCGAAAGTGTTCGAAATCGATCGCATATTAAGGCGTTTTAGTCTAATGCAAACCTGTGAATTTAACAAGTTCGACTGTAAACCATTAAAAATGTCCATATTTTTTCAGATTTCTAGAGCGATTGACTGAAACAGACTCATCGTATATAGTTGCGCTAAGATTGTTTTCTGCTTGAACCAATTTGCGACGCTAAAGAACTTGAACGAAATTTTCATTCCTCGCATAAAAAATCAGTTTCCTAATTTTATTAAATTTATTATATTAATGTTAATTTGAAAAAGGAAAACACGAAAGACAAAAACAATGTAAGACAAACAAGTTTCCAAATTGCATATTTAATTCGCAAAATGTTTGGGTTAAGGCAGAATTTAATAGAGAGTTTTTGGGTGGTTGCCTCGAAAGCCAAATTTGGAAAACACACAAATGGTTGAAAATAGTAAAATAATGACTCATTGATGCAAAGCAAATTTACCAGTTTCGACACCTTCAGCCCTTCTTCCACACAATGCCAAAATGCCCATACAGAAACCCCAAAACTGGCCAAAAACAACTCGCAATTTTCCTCAGGCCTAACTTTGCACAACTAACTAAAAACTGTGAGAAAAAAGCGGGTTTTCCTACCTACAAACCGTTCCTTCGTACTCAATCGGGTTAAACTTAAGGGAAGCCACTCATGGTGAATTGTTGGTAAACTTCGCACTACTGATAAAACTTCCAGTTGCGAAGTTGCGATCGTTCGGCGCGCAAATTTTGCCACTCGGAAAACTGGACAGCGTCGCGACGTGATCATCACTGCGACGCGGCTTCCGACGTCGTTAGAGGAGCGCCTAAGAGGCGTAACGCAGGATTGTGGGACGTCGAATCTACTCAATCCCGGCCACCTTTGCTTGATGAATCAGTTCTAGAGTGAACTCAAATCACCTTTGATTTTCCAGTTTCGAGTGCACTTTTAAGCATTTTGCGACGTTTAACTACAAATATTCAACCAACTTCTTGAAAAATCCAGCTTCATTAGCGCATAGCTTGTTAAAACGCCAACTGAAGCTCTCCAACTGGCTCGAAGACGGTTACCCTCATTAGCGTAGCTGATCTCAATAGAATATTGTGAAAGTTTAATGCAGATGTTCTCTAGAGGAAAAGTTTGCGCCCTAAAGAAAGCGCGCTTCCTTTGAATAGCACGTGCCGGTATTTGTTACCTTTCAAGCACTCTTGAGCATTGGAACAAGTGAAGCTCTTTTAATTGTATCGGGGTATCGGATGGAAGAAGTCAACGCCTCGAGCAGAATTTCACCCCACAGTATAAACCTTTGTGTCACTTTAGCCGGAAAGATAAGAAAAGCTCGTCGAATCCGCAAGCAGGAAATAAAACGTCACTAGCCATCAGGGCTCAGTTGAGGACGCTAAGCTGGGGCTCGTTTATCGGAAAACTTCAGGTAAACAAAATGTCTTTCCCAAAGAGGAATTAGGTCGACTCTAGGCAGAAAAATTG